TTAGCATTGTATTGGCACAAAAACAGACACAGAGATCTGTGGGACAGAATAGGGAACCCAGAAATGGACCCTCAACTGTCAGCTCATCTTTGACAAAGCAGGAAAGAATATCCAGTGAAGAAAGACAGTCTCTTCAATAAATGGTGCTGGAAAAATTGGACAGCCACATGCAGAAGAATAAAACTGAACCATTCTCTTACACCATACAGAAAGATAAACCCAGAATGCATGAAAGACCTAAATGTGAGACAGGAATTCATTAAAATCCCAGAGGAAAACACAAGCAGTAACCTCTTTGACCTTGGCCACAGCGACTTCTGTCCTTTTTTTTTAGGCCTTTTTAAAATTTATTTTTTTAGAGAGAACATTTAAGTAGGGAGGGCATCATGCAGAGCAGGTAGAGGGAGAAGCAGGCCCCAGGCTGAGGAAGGAGCCCAGTGCAAGACTCTATCCCAAGACTTATGATCATGACCTTAGCTGAAGGCAGACGCTTAACCAACTAAGCCACCTACGTGTCCCTACAGTGACTTCTTTCAAGACACATCTCTAACGGCAAGGGAAGCGAAAGCAAAAATGAATATTTGAGACTTCATCAAGATAAAAGGCTTTTTCATGGCAAAGGCAATAGTCAGCAAACTAAAGAGGATCTCACGGAATGGGAGAAGATATTTGCAAATGACATTACAGATAAAGGGCTGGTGTCTAAGATCTGTAAAGAACTTCTAAACTCAAGACCCAAAAAACAAATAATTCAGTCAAGAAATGGGCAGAAGACATGAACAGACACTTTTCCAGAGAAGACATACAAATGGCCAATAGACACATGAAAAATGCTCCACATCACTTGCCATCAGGGAAATACAAATCAAAACCACAATGAGATACCACCTTTGACCAGTTAGAATGGCCAAAATTAACAAGACGGATTAAGAAATGTTGGCAAGGATGTGGAGAAAAAAAAAATCTTCTTACACTGTTGGTGGGAATGCAAATTGGTGCAGCCACTTTCGAAAACAGTAGGGAGGTTCCTCAGATGTTAAAAATAGAACTGCTCTATGATCCAGTAATTGCACTACTGGGTATTTACTCTAAAGATACAGATGGCGTGAAAAGAAGGGGCACCTGCACCCCAGTGTTTGTAGCCACAGTGTCCACAATAGCCAAACAGTGGAAGGAGCCATGATGTTCTTCAACGGATGGCATGGATAAATAAGATGTAGTTCATATATACAATGGAGTATTACTCAGCCTCATCAGAAAGGTTGAATACCCATCATTTGCATCAACATGGAATTGGACAGTATTATTCTATGTGAAATATGTCAAGTAGAGACATATCATTTGATTTCAGTCTTATGTGGAACATAAGGAATAGTATGGAGGACCACAGAGAAAGGGAGGGAAAACTGAATGGGAAGAAATCAGGGAGGGAGACAAACTATGAGAAATTCTGGACTCCGGGAGACACACTGAGGGTTGCAGAAGGGAGGGGAGTTGTGGGATGTGGTAACCTGATGATGGGCATTAAGGAGGGCACGTGTGATAATGAGCACTGGGTGTTATATGCAACTGGTGAATTGTTGAACACTACATCAAAAACCAATGATGTACTATATGTTGGCTAAATGAACATAATTTTTTTTATCATGTTATGTTAGTCATCATAAAATATATCATTAGTTTTTAATGCAGTGTTCCAAGATCATTTAAATGGATATAATTTAAATAAAAGGTTCAAATAAAAAAAATTAAAGTATACTGGCTGCTGAATAGGCTAAGAAGAAAAGAGTGGGGATTTGGTTTGTTTGGTTGTACTTTTGTTGTTACATATTTTCACACTCTTAGCACATCTCAGAATTCCTCATTTTTCTTTTTTCAGATTTAAGGTCTGTATTTTTGTGGGTGAGGGAGGGTATATTTTGAGCCTTTTGTTTTCTGTTGGTCATTCTGTCTATACCAATGTACCATAGTTTCAGCCACGTATTTCCAAATATAACAGGGTCTGAGAAAGGGATAGAACAGTAGGCATTTAGAATCCTAAAGAGTCTATGATGTTTAAGTCTCTTCACCTAAGCATTAGTATCATTATTAGTAAGTAATGACCAGTCTCACTCTGAAGAATGTTTGAGGTACTGTCAGCTGCCACTTTCCTATAATAAGTGAGCTTTAAATAGACAACTTAAGAACCTGACCTTTGCAGTTCAGTTGTGAGGTTTTTGTTTCTCATTCTGAGCTCTAACTGCTCCTAACAGAGGAGGAAGAATCAGGGCACAAAAACATACGAACAAGAAAACCTTGACTTTTCTATATTATTTTAAGAGATTTGAAAACAGTCTAACATTTGAAATTTGAACATGATTTAAGGCCATTACAAATTATAATTTGGGGTTTTTTGTTAGTATACAAAATAAATGTGTATTTATGCATAGGTATGACTTATTCACATATGTAGTAGCTCTGTAAAATATATACATGCAAATAAATTCCAGTTTTTTAACTACAGAAATTGATTTTCAAAATAACTAGTTTTCTAGTTAAAATAAGGGCAAAGTCGTCCCATTTACCCATTTATACTAATGTTTAGAAAACTCAACATGATTAATATTTTCAGAAGCAACCTCCTAAAAGCCCAGTTTAGAAAACTATTAAATAAAGCACAGTCACTTCAGATGGGTATGTGACTTGGGAACTCCTCCCCCAGTCATTTAAACTAGTTAAATAATTGCATTCTGCTACTAGAGAATTAGGTGGTTGTTATCCACTCCATATTAACATTTACTTGAATGCTTACTATATGTCAGAGATTGCTGTACATTTCACATGTATCATTTCTCTTGTTATAGAAACTATGGATAGAAGTGGTAATGCCACTTTACATTAAATGAAGGTTTGGAGAGTTAAAAAACAAAACAAAACAATGTTTTGCCCAAGATCATGTGGCAGTGGAGTAATGGTACCATTATCACATTAACCATTATCACTAAGTCAAGGACTGAAATATTCCTCTTTATTTTTTAATTATACTTGGACCAAAGAAGCTGCTCTGTTAGTTAATTATTATCAGGAAGAAGAGTACAGCACTAGCTGTAAAGATAATAGCAACGAAAACAAATGAACGGACCAAGATATATACCGGAGAAGACTTGGAAGAAGGAGACCAGAGTTTGTACTTGGCTCCATTTTTAGCTTATATATCACTTTCTTAGGAAAGCTTTCCCTGCCACATCCTATTCCTTATCTGTCTGTTAGAACACTGAACTCATTGTTGTAATTACCATATTGCATGATTCTCAGGTGCACATATTTTTCATTTTAACATTTCTAAAATCTGGATGCATCTTATAATTGATGTTGTCTTAAAATTAGTTGTCAACATTTCTCCTTAATTATTGGTACAAAAAATAAGGATGTGATTTATGGTCGATGGCATCTTAGATTTGATGATACACAATATTTACATGTGTTCCCATGAAAAGGTTTATATCATCCCAACAGTTTTAAATACCAGGTATATACAGTGATTTTCCAGTTTCTAGTCTAGTCCTCTTTTAAGCTCCAGACCTGCATGTTGAACTACATTTTCCTTCGAAACCACAGGCATTACCAATTCAATATGTCTACTTTCTGAATAAACTTGTCTTTCAGTATTCCCCCATGTCAGTAAATGGAATCTACGTTTGTACATTTGTGAAGCTGAAAAGCTACCGGTTTGACCGCCAGGGTGTGAATCCCACTTCCACCTTATACTAGTTATGTGAGGACACTGAGACATGTGTCTGTCTTCATCTGTAAAATGGGGAGCATAATAACACCTATCTCTGAGAGTTGTTGGGACATTAAAACAAGGAGTAAATGTTAGCTGCCACTGATCTTCATGATACATATCTGTGACCTCTCTCCTTAACTGGACACGTAACTCATCCTCAAATCCTGTGAGAGGTAAGCCCTTTAAAATATTTCTGTCCACTTTTATCTCATTGCTGCGTCTCCACTCCAAGCCCTCATTTTTTCACCTATAGTAACTAATAGCTTCTACTCTTTCTCATCTCTAGTCTATTCAATACAAAGATCAGTCAACAATCTTTTAAATCAGATCACACAACTTCTTAAAAACCCACAGTTCTTAGTATGGTATGTATTGTTCTCAGTTGTCTGCCTAGCCTCTGCCCACTTTCTCAGCCTCATCTTAGGCTGCTCTACCTTGTAGTGTCACTCATTTCTCCCAAAATGAACTCCCACTCATCCTTTACTTTTCTTCTTAATTGCCACTGCCTCAAAGACATGTTCTGATCTTCCAAACTAGTTACCTCAGTCCTATTGTATGATCTTTTATATTGAATTTATACCTTTCATATTTGGGGTGAAGATAAGGAAGTCGAGTGATTTCCCCAAGGCTTGTAATGCTGATTATGGTAGAACTAGAATGCCAGCCGAGGACCAGCCAACTCTAAACTGTCATTTCCATGGTCCTTCCTTTGCTTCCTTGAGAACAGAAGAAAGCATATGAATCAATGTGCTAGGCTTCCAAATATGGCCTGACTTCTCTCCTTTCTTTCCATTTAACCTTCAGGTAGGTTGTTCTCTCAATATCCATTTCTTTGGAAGCCATCCCTCCCAAATTAGATTGTAAACCTTTGAAGATGTTCATCTATTCATATGGTATTAATATAACATTCTTCTAGTAGTTCTTATATATACCTAGCAGTTATATAAATTACCTTGTGTACAGTAGATAATGATTCAATATTTTTGTCTTAGGGATGTTAGAGAAAAACAGTATTTTAATCCATTTAATTTATTCAAGGTTTGGTGATATTTCATGAAAGAATTTAGTACTTGCCATGCTCTTCTACCAATCAGTAACTACATTTTCTGTTTTCATATTTTGAATAGACCTGCCTCAAATTTAATTTTAAAGTAAATAGTTGGTGTCTTCATAGATTATTATGCTTGTTTCACTAGAAAAACAATTAACCTTAAGTATTTTTGCTTTGCTTCAGGAATTAAGTGATCTACAACGAGACCCACCTGCTCATTGTTCCGCTGGACCCGTGGGGGATGACTGTAAGCTTTGCTGTCTTGCTAGGATTTTGCTACCATTAATAATACAGGTTTGAACGTTTGTTAATGACTCCAAAACTCCTTTGTTTGTTTCAGTGTTCCACTGGCAAGCAACTATTATGGGACCTGTAAGTATGATTCATATATATGAAATTAATTCCCTCAGCCATACCTCATTCTTACCATTTCACCTTTGATGAGATGTTTGTGGCTAAGGTTGAGTTTTCATGTACTCTGAGTCTGAACACTCAGGAAGCAAAATACAGTGAAAGGATTTTTGATGATTTTCTGCAGCACTGGTAGCAAATCACTTGTTTGGATCACTTTGATGTTTCCCTTTGACAAATCCCTGGTCATTACACATAGTCATGGATCGCCCACCATTTGCACCCAGGCTATATGTTATACATTTGCTTTATCTGTTTTTAAGCACAAAAGTCAGTTGTTCAGAACCCAGTATAATTACCTCACATCAACAATTTTTGTAAAAGAAAAAAAAAATAATTTTAGTAGGGTAGAAATGACTCTAATTAACTCAGCAGTGGAATACCTGCAATAACAAGCACCAGTTTGCAGTAACTCTTCACTGTTCCTGTGTGTGAGAGGGAACTGGTAAGAGAATTGCAACAGATCTGTCTTTGCCAACTTCTGAATGTGTTATTTTTAGTTTGGTTGTATTATACTGAACTCAGAATTACCTATTTTATGACTGGCTTTACTTAACACTTACTACCCTTGTTAAGATTATTTCTTTCTGTACCTAGAGGCAGTTAGGACTTGAAACAGACTTTTCTTTTTGTGCACAAAAATCTGATCGCATAGGAATGGGCATTGACTACTTTCTGGGTGAGAATATACATACTAGTAATTGTTTACATGAACATCATTCTTTCCCTCCCCTGAAAGAATTTTATCTAGTAAGGCATAGAGGTTTTAATCATATTACTTGTGTTTCACATTTAAAAACAAATACTGAATTTTCAGAGCAGAAGTCTTGGGGAAATGTCTCAAATTACTAAACTGTTATGTTAAGTTAGTTTTTTCTAAGGGTAAAATGCAATATATATAAAGAACAACTTGAAGAATCTAATTATTTGTTTTTCATTGCTTACTAAGAACCTTCAAAATACTATTATTTATTAAAGATTTTATTTATTTATTTATTTGACAGACAGAGAACACAGGTAGGCAGAGAGGCAGGCAGAGAGAGAGGAAGGGAGGCAGGCTCCCCGCTGAGCAGAGAGCCCAATGCAGGGCTCGATCCAAGGACCCTGGGATCATGACCTGAACCGAAGGCAGAGGCTTTAACCCACTGAGCCACCCAGGTGCCCCAAAATACTATTATTTAAAGGCCCACCCTTACCATTTGAATTATAGCCCTTCACAGATATTCCTTAGATGAATCACATGTAGCAAATGGTTACAATTATGTTACTCATAACCCCTTTATTTTGGTAATGCAAACATGCCACTCTCTAATATCATTTGAATTCATTTACATTTTCTACATTCCCTTTAACTTTTGAAGAACTAGAATTAAACTGTGTATAGTTAGAATAATTATACAGTATAGTCCTCTAATGTATATGCAGACACTTGAGGAAGTAATGATAGTTTTGCTGTTATTACCAAAGTGGTAATATAACATGATAACATGAAAAATTTAATTAAATATTAAGGAGGGGCACCTGGGTGGCTCAGTTGGTTAAGCATTTGACTTTGGCTTAGGTCATGATCTCAGGGTCCTGGGATTTAGTCCTATGTTATGCTTGTCCCTCTGCTCCTCCCCCTGCTCATGCCCTCTTTCTCAAATAAATAAATTATATATATGTAAGTAGATATATGAATATACGTGTGTGTGTGTGTGTGTGTGTGTGTGTATACACACATATATATAGGAATATATATGTGTGTGTGTATATATATATGAAGGAATATATATAAAGGAATTAAAATAGATTTTACCTTTATTCTTTATCATTTTTTTCTTGCTTGTAATATTAAAGGTATTTTCTAACTGCCATAAAGAAATATGGCCAAATTTAAATTCTTCCTATAAAGTTGGTTCCTAATTTGATTCAATGACTATTGAATTTATCTAGTTTTATTTTGAGCTTTTTTGTGTTTTCCACATTCTATTGTAAACTGTTACTAAGTGAAGATTGGAGGTCTGAATTGTGTGTCATGTAGCCTTTCCTTTTTATAACTTGGTCTTTTTATTTCATTTCTATTCTTGCCCCTTAAAGGACGACCATTGGTGCCCCTTCGTAGCTCAGTCAGTTAAGCATGCTGACTATTGATTTCCGCTCAGGTCTGATCTCAGGATCATGGGATCAATTCCCATGTCAGTTTCCCTGCTCAGTGAGGAGTCTGTTCAGGATTGTCTTTCCCCCTCTGCCCCTCCCCCTGCTTGCACTCTCTCTAAAATAAATAAATCTTAAAAAAAAAATACGACCATCAGATCTTAAGTTTTATAAATAAGAAGGTAAATAAATACTAGCCCAAACCCTGTTTCCCATACTGATTACTGCTGTGGAAAATTCTTCTTTTCTCAAAGCAATTGTGTGTGTATACTAATTTATAAAACTCTCTAGACTCATAAAAAGATCTGTTTAGGTAAGTCACACCACTGTGTGTGTCCTATTTTTGTGTTTAACTTTGATGTCATCATGATTATTGAAGATTCTTCCTTCATACCTGCAAAGGGAAACCTGTTTTCAAGGTAAATGATTTGAACTTAGGACAGAATGATGGCTTTTTTTTTTCTCCCCCAAATCAATTTGGGGGGAAATCATCTTAGGTTACTAAATAAATACAGTAATCACTAAATAAATATAGTAATCACTAATGCAAATATTTGTAATTTCAGCCTGATAGCGCCTATCAAGGTGGAGTCTTCTTTCTCACTGTACATTTTCCGACAGACTATCCTTTTAAGCCACCAAAGGTATTTTCATTTTTATGGTTGATTTGACTCCTTGTCAGAGATTTTACTCTCTACCCCAAGTTATGTACATGATGTCACAGACTATGGGTAACTTAGCATGTTCAAACTATTCTGTAAAATCGCTGAATTTAAAATAAGCTTATTCAAATATTGGACTATATCTGTAAAACAAAAGGCAGTATCTATTATATGACAAATTAGCTTCCTTACCTTTTTTTCCCCTCCTCCTTAGATATATGTAGTTTGGGAAGTTTTTTTATGGTCAAGAATCACACTTTTGTATTCAGGGGATTATCTTTGAAAGTTGACCCTATTTCTCAGTTCTTAAGTTGTTATTCAACAAAAATTTATTGAGTACCTCCAGTGTTCTGTTAACATTGGGGAATACAAAAATAAATGTGACACAGTCCCTTTATTAAGTGTGGTAAGAAAAATAAAAACATTTCCTTATTACATTAAATTTAGACTGGATCTGAAGAGGAAATAAATGATGGTGACATCAAGGAGGGAGAAGTTTATTAACAAATACTTCCACTCCGAATAATTATTTTAGATTTTTTAAAAATACCTGACTAACATTATATATATGAAACAATGTAACAACAACTCTTGTGGAAGATTAGAATTCTTAGCAGATCCCTTAGGATAGATAACAGGCTGAGGACCCTCAACTTTCTTCTGGAACAGGGTCAGCACTCTATTTTTAGATTCATTGTCATTTGTAGGTATCAATGATAATCAAATTAAGAAATGGATTACTTTGAGGGATGATGAAACCCATGGTTAATTACTCCAGGTACTACTCAGGCAGTCATATCAGCTAATATAGATTTATTTGTTATATTCCAAAATACTTCTCAGTTCCAGGGGGCCAAGGGGAAACTGACTATTTGCTTTCATACTCCCAGGAGCTAAAACTATGTGCACAAAGTAGATGCTCAATTTGTTGAATTTCTCCTCTAAGGTCATGTAAAATTGAGGACATTTTACCCCAGAGCAGATTGGTTCTGTTTTGTTCATAGTTTGTGGGTTGTCACATTCTTGTTTTGTTTTATTTATAGATTGCTTTCACAACAAAAATTTACCATCCAAACATAAACAGTAATGGAAGTATTTGTCTTGATATCCTGAGGTCACAATGGTCACCAGCTCTGACTGTATCAAAAGGTAATTTTATTTACCAGATTTATAACTATTGATAACAGTAAGACAAGAAAAATATAGCAGAACTATCTAGGGACTAAAGTTTAAAAAAAAAAAAAATTTACTGTTTTCTCCTGCTTTGATTTTGCTTTGCTTTCATAGCTCTTCTATTACTCTTTTGCTTTTGTCAGTTAGCGTGATGTGGTTAATGGTCAAATCTTAATAATAAAATGAGACAAATTTAAATATGTTAGAACTAGAAATTTGGTTGAGCCTACTGACATTTTACCCCTTTAGTTTTGGCTTTAAAGAGAGAGACAGAGTGAAAATAAGATTTTAGGATCAGTTGTGCCGTTTATTAAATAGAATTGTTAATGTAATGAGTAAAGCTTTACATCTCTTACTTCATCTAAGAAGACACATTTCACACTTTAGAATAATGCAGTATATTTATTAGGATGTTAGTCTAAACTTTTAATAACCAATAGCATTATTTATGACTGATAACATAATCCATGTGGATTCTCAGCTTTAACAGATACATACTTTTTTCTTGCTAAATTATCAGATGTATATGTAGACCTTCTAGTACCTAGCCAATAGTTTCTGCTGTGCTAGCCCTCTTAATTCATGTCTTGTTTCTCCAGCAGAAGAGAACCCAACCATTAGAAAAAACTGTTTTGAGTTAGAAGCTCCTGCCCCTGAAGTAATTTGGTAGTTTTCCCTTTTTATAAAATTTAAGAAAATTATTTCTCTTGAAGGATTCAGGGGAGGAATGAACCTGTGCTTATTTAAAAAAATCTTTTTAATAAATGCTCTCTTCATGTTTAACTTATTTTTAAAAGTGATTAGGTTTTTAGGAAGCAGGGTCCACAGCGATAATATTTCAAATATTAGGTAAGTAGTAGCCCTTCACATCAGCTAGTTATTATGAATGGCAGTTTTTCTGACCTAAAATGTTTGTATAAAATGTTCATGTTGATTCTAGTGTCTTTTTAAAAATCACATAGTATAACTGTTATGTACTAGATGCAAGAAAGTTTTTGTGTCACAGGATTATTCAAATTAATATACTCTTTCCTGGAATGGAAATGGAAATGTAATTCATTTGGTGTAAGTGGTTAAGTACTTATACATACAAAAGAAATGGCAGACTGCCAGATATTGAGCACTAATTTTCTAACATCGGTAGCTTTTTATAAATATTAATTAGTATTCTTGGCTTCTGGAAACTGCCCTTGAAGAAGAATTTCAAGTAGCCTCACTGTCCTCATATGTAAAATGAGGATTATAGGAGTATTACCGTGTAAGGTCACTATGCATCTGGCACATAGAAGACATTCGACTGAATGTTAACTATTATTACCTTTTTCTTTATCTTAAAACATTTGATTTGTGTACATTGTAGTGAAATCAGGGCACATTGCTCTTGGCAGCAGGAGTGGGAAATGAGGAACTTCCCTCTTGCCTTATTTTATAAGGTAGCTTATACTTTGCTTATTTGTACATTTTCTACTTTTTTATATTTTAAATGTCTTATTTTGCTTTCTATTGTGAGTTTAGTCTGGAAACTCTGGAGATGTGAGCCTAGATAATCTACCCTAATAGTTTAATATAAAAGGCTTAAAATTTCAGTAGGCAGATGGAAGATAAGGAAGATGAATAAAATACTAATTTTTTTCATTAGCCCTTAGCAACTCCCTTTCTGTGTTATTTAAGAAATTAACTCTGCTTTATAAATTTTGCTTGTGGATTTGTAAGAGTAGGAAAAGATAAAGGAACATAGTAGAACATCTTGAAATGTTCTTCCAAAGATTCCTCGTATACCCTCAGAAGTCATGGCATGCAATCATAACAGACAAATCAGGAACCAGAGTCCTTGTTCCTTACTTTTTCAGATACTTAAATTGTTTTTGAGAATGTAGCTATATGAATTAGTATTTTGATGTGGGAAGAAACAACTACTTTTATAATTTTCACTAATATTTTAAAACATACAAGTTATGTATTGATAATTGTTCACATTATTTTTAAATGAGTGTGATACAAATAATGTACATGGAATAAAAGATTGATTGAAAAAAACCTGACAAATATTTCTTCTTTGTAGGCAAACTGTAGCACTAAGCCAAAATAAAAAAAGTGCATAAACAATGAGTCCAAAATGGTTTGGACTGTTAACTGCAATTTGTTTGCTGTACTTTGAATTGATTAGAACATAGATTTTCTGCATTAAAATAAAATAAAAAATGGATGGTTTCCTTATTAAAGTACAAAAGTATCTTTAAAAAATACCTAGGGATGCCTGGGTGGCTCAGTTGGTTAAGTATCTGCCTTCGGTTCAGATCATGATCCTAGGCAGGGTCCTAAGTTTGAGTCCCTCATTGGGCTCCTTGCTCAGCAGGGAGCCTGCCTCTCCCTCTGCCTGCTGCTCCCCTGCTCGTGTGCTCTTCTCCTCATATCAATAAATAAAATCTTAAAAAAAAATACCTAAAGTTAGGATGCTGTTCTAAAAATGTTTTGATTAGGTACCATATTTGGCATATGTATGTGTTACCTAAAATTATTTTTATAGAGAACTCTTCAGATTAAATGTTTAGTTACTTTATAAGTGTACATTTTTTAAATAAGTTGAAATTCAAATAAAATTTAAAACTTCAAAAGTTATAGTGATTTTGTATTATATACATTGTATGCTAATTTTGTAATTTCTAATTAAAAATTAGAAATATTTGTTCCTTAGCAAAGTTAGTCTAAAAAGTAATTTAACATGCTCATTTGATTTTGTTTTCTTTATAAGTTCATTGTCTATATTCAGTAAAAGTGTTTTCATATATGTAATTGTTATAAAGCAGAAAGATCATTATCTGATGTGATGTTCTTTTTTCAATCTAGTTTTATTGTCCATATGTTCTCTACTTTGTGATCCTAATCCAGATGACCCCTTAGTACCAGATATTGCACAAATCTATAAATCAGACAAAGAAAAGTAAGTGTTTACTTATATAAGTTTCTGCCTGGGTGTATTTCTGTGTGGTCTGCCAAAACATAAGTATTATCAATATATTTAAGTACATTTAATTGTGTTAATTGTACTAAGTTTGTCTATCTTTATTAGTCTTTTTACAAACTTTTTACAAACTTGTACTAAGTTTGCCTATCTTTATTAGTCTTTTTACAAGAGATATTATTCCTTCCCATACAGTGTTTAGTCCTTTACTATTTAATAGTACATGTTCTGCATTTGTGTAATATGTCTGTTTTTTGATAGGAGAGAACCATATATATAGTTCTGGGTAGTAAATTTAAAATTAAAGAATTTGATAATTGGAAAGCCTTGAATATTTTTCTCCCAGGAAGAGAAGTTATCCCTAACCCCCTCCAAACTGACCCAATTTTCAAGCTGTTTCATCTTGCTGGAACCATTGATTCATTTGCATTTTATAGGTGATGCCCATTCAGGGTTGGCTTTTATAGACTTCTGTTAGAAATTGATTTCTTATTTTGTTGTTTATAATTTAGGCATGTTTCTGTATTGGTTGTAGAGAAATCCATCAGTTAAAAAATCACTTGTTGTTTTCTATTTTATTTAATATATGAGCCTAAGTCACATTGACTCAGTAATTGGCGTATGAATAATTATTGCAATTAAGTGTAAAAAGGTAGAGCGTACAGTTTTATATAAATAGTTCTTCTAAAAGATTCATTTTGTCTGTTTTTATTATATCCCTTTTGTATACCTACAGATACAACAGACATGCAAGAGAATGGACTCAGAAATATGCAATGTAAAGTCAAAAAAAATTTCATATATACCAGAGTACTGTAAAATCTAGGTTTTTTTCAACATTAGCAGTAAATTGAGCACTGTTTACTGTTTCATTGTATCATGAAATCCTTTGATTTTTACCCATTTTACATGTATTTCTGAAGCAAGACAAAACAAACTTCCAAAAATACCCTTCAGACTGTGATGAGAGCATTTGTCATTTTGTATGCATTGAGAAAGACTTATTATGGTTTTTAAGATACTTGGACATCTGCATCTTCAGCTTACAAGATCTGCAATGCATCTGAAAAGCAACCAAATTATTTTTTGCTGAAACTAATTGTTTTTACATGAGAAATGCTGTATGTGTTGTCTAAGATGTCATCAGTTTTATAAATCTGTATTCAGATTCATTCTTTGTTAGCTCACTTTATAATTTGTATTTTTTTACTGTATAGACTAAATATATTCTATTTACATGTATGTCAACGCATTACCTTTTTCCTGTGAACAGTATTGAAAAAACCCAACAGCTGGTAATTAAATGAATTAACTGTCTGTCTCCCTTGTCTTAGGGTAATCAGTAGATTGATTCCAGATTTCTTAAACCTGAAAGGATCTTTACACTGTAATTCTCAGTATCTTGATTATGGAGAAACACTTGTTTTGATTTTGTTATACTTGACTTAACTTTATTGCAATGTGAATTAATTGCACTGCTAAGTAGGAAGATGTGTAACTTTTATTTGTTGCTACTCACATTTGAGTTTTTCTTCTGTATAGGCAATGTTATATTGACACCTTTTACAGATATTAATGTAGCTTTTTCCATATAAATAAAATGCTTTTTCTACTATTTGTCTTGATTACTTAAAGAAATAAATTATCTATAAGTAAGGATCAAAACTATAAAATTTTGCATGCAAATTAATTCCAAATTGTGCAAATGAGGTCTATTGTATTTGATATTCATTGCCATTAATTATATAAATTTTATTGCTTTAGATTTGTATTTGTTTACCATATTATTAGTCTAGAGGATGGAACACATTGGACCCTTGTTATAGAAGAGAATTTAGAGTAAGTTGGGGTTTGTCTTGGATCACATTTTAAGTGAATCATTTACTAAGGTACTGTGATGAATATAAGGCAGTGTCACCCACACTGAAGAAAGTATTGACCTGAAAAATAGTTTAATTATTAAAATGCCCCTCTAGGTAGAATGGACATTGTAATTTCTTAACATTTTAAAATCTAGAATTTTTAAAATAGCAGTTTAGTGCCATCACAGTTTGAAAGAAGACATCCATTTTTTACTATAGATGTTATAAAGAAAATTCTAAAATGATGCTTTCCTCTGTTTTTATAAATTTCCAGTTAAAAGTGGCTTAAATAAGCAGGTTATCTTTGCAGATTTTAAAGAAAGCTAGAAAGTTCTAACGTTCTAACTTGGAAAAAAAATACATTTCTAATTATTTAGCATGCTTACCAAACTTTGAGTGAGTGTCATTTTTAAGAAGAGTTGTAGCTCTTTGGATTATTGCAGTAGCTGTGTAAGTGTGCAAGAATCTGTGATGGATGTAGTCATTAGTAAAGCATTTAAATCACTTAAGCATTTTACCATGGATCATTATTATTAAAGCACAAAATAACCCATTGTTAGAACATGTGTTTTTATAAATGAGTGTAAAAATATTTAAATGAATTGTGAGATGGATGTTTAAGAAAATATAGGTTTAAAAAGTAACTATATTAAGTAATGTCTTGAAACAAACATATCATGAAAAACACTGCTTTACTAGGTATATGATTATAAGCTACATTCACCCAGAATTTGAACACTCAAGTTCATTAGATTTAAATATTTAGTATATTTTGATAGTAAAGGATTTTGTTTCTTGAATATCTTTCACTTTTTAAAAAACTTTGATTTGTGTGACATTTATTTTTGGAAGTGTCTTTTTTTTCCTTTATTAAAAGTTTTGAAACTCACCTAATTCTTGTTTGCCTTTGCTTACACCTGAATTGTGTGACCAGACTCCAGAGGAGTGAGCACAAGTTCTCATATTAAATAAAAACCTTAAGAATTCTGTGGTGACATAATGATGGGCCAAGTCACCATTTTAGCTCTGTCATTTTTGCTTAATTCTGAGAAGGATATATCACTTACCTTTTAGAACTGCAAGTCCGAAGTCAGGGGCCTTCCTCCATAAAGTAACCATTGATTTAGGGACCCTTGGAATGAGAAAAACAGGTAGTCTTTTGGAGTTTTGGATAGTACTTCTTGAAGTCTTGGGTATTTCAAGACAGTTAAAAACGATATTCAAGTTGAATTCTGGGCACTTGTAAATGTCACATACAGTAAGTCAGAACTACAAGTTGTAAGGGCAGCCTCCCCCTCATCTCCCATATTTGCATTTGATTCCTGAAGTACAGACTTCCTACTTGCCTCTGTAAAGCATTTATAATTATTCATTTTTGATTTAAGTTGTCCCTCTCATCCCCTTAATCCTTAAACTGTTTAGGGAAAATTTAAAATTTAAAATGTACTTTGTAGATCAACTACTTATCAGTTGTAAAGGATCATAAGGGATCACATGAGAAATACAGAGCACAAGGGCAACCTAAGACTTAATATTCAAAAGCGTAACTTTTCAAAAAAATTTGATAAAAATACCACATGTAGTTTTCCATTTCTTTTATTACTTTATTCCATGATCAGTTTGTACGTGATTCAGCCATTGATGTTTTGCAGGATCTTGCTTTCACAGTTCTGTGTTTTGGGGGAATTAATTTTCCTCTCAGATTAAAAGAGATTCTTGGTAATGAAACTATTTGTATCCTGTTTATTTGTTGGTAGTCAATTTGAACTGGACTCAAAGTCCAGTTCAGTCAATGTTTTGAGTTCTGCTGTAGAATCATCAGTCCTGTTACAAGGACCAGCCATGGAAAATGTGATCAATGCTTTAGCCAAGGCCATATAAATAGAGCTTCAGTGTATTCAAATTGTTGGATTTGGTCTGTGGAAATACAACAGTACTGCTTATCTTTTCAGTTTAAATCATTTAAGTGATTGTCATCAATAAAATAATAACAAACCTGAACTTCAGAAGTTCAGTTTTATTACTCATCAGCTGTAAACTAGGACTTTCAATTTTATTCCCTTTAAACAGGGGCTTAAATGCAATTCATTAGCCCTAAAGTATAATGCACGTCATTTGTGGAAGTTCTCATTTTTTAAATATGCTTCTCTTACTGTTCTACAGATAAGAAAAGATTCATCTAATTTCACTTGTAAAAATTGCTATGTGTGGATAATTAGTCATTCCTACTTCTTTTTTTTTTTTTTTTTTTTTTCCCCTGTACTGAATGATGTCGGTAAACTCTTCTTAAATAGTTGGCATGCTTTCACCAGGAGTTTTTTCAGTAATAGCGCCAATTAAAAATTTGTGGACAGCTGGTATTTTTTGGTTGTAGAAATAATCTATAATGTAAAAGTATGTTCATGACAACATTACATCTCTTATTTGTATTATATTGCATTGTCCTGTTACATAGAAGAAGGTGGTTTTAAATTGTTCATAAATTGAACGAATAGAAGGAGGGAATATTCACCTAAAATATTAGCATTTAGAAGGATTTTTGTATAATAAGATATAGTTCTTTAAAAGCTTACTTTAGCACTCTTTTGCTTTCTACTATAGAAGAAGGGATGCATCTTTCTTACCTCAGGAGGACATAAGTTGCTTTTATTATGCTGACAAATATGTAAGATCTGAGCTATGCTTTCCCCATATAATTTGTTTCTGTGAAGATCTCTTTACTTCCAAAGATCACTATGAAATAGAGTATTGTAAACTCTTAATATACATATTGTGGGGTACAGTTGCGACACCACTTGTGTTGGCACTTCTAACATACTAATTTTTTAATTTTTTAATTTTTTGTTGTGTTATGTTAGTTGCCATTGAGGACATCATTAGTTTTGATGTAGTGTTCCAAGATTCATTGTTTACGTATAACACCCAGTGCTCCATGCAATCCATGCCCTCCTTAATACCCATCACTGGGCTCCCCTATCCCCTCCTCCTCTAAAACCCTCAGTTTATTTCTCGAGTCCACAGTCTTTCATGGTTCATCTTCCTCTCTGATTCCCCTCTTCCCTTTTCCCTTCCTTCTCCTAATATCCTCCATGCTATTCCTTATGTTCCATAAGTAAGTGAAACCATATGATAATTGACTTTCTCTGCTTGACTTTTTCACTCAGCATGATCTCCTTGAGTCTCGCCCACATTGATGCAAAAGTTGGGTATTCATCCTTTCTGATGACTGAGTAATATTCTATTGTATACATGGACCACATCTTTATCCATTTGTCTGTTAAAGGGCATCTCTGCTCTTTCCAGTTTGGCTATTGTGGACATTGCTGCTACCAACTTTGGGACGCATATGGCCCTTCTTTTCACTACATCTGTATCTTTGGGTTAAATACCCAGTAGTGCAATCGCCAGGTCATAAGGTAGCTCTATTTTTAAGTTTTTGAGGAACCTCAACACTCTTTTCCAAAGTGGCTACACCAACTTGCATCCTATCAACACTATAAGAGCATTCCCCTTTCTCCACATCCTCTCCAACATTTGTTGTTTCTTGCCTTGTTTTCTGCCATTGTAACTGGTATAAGGTGCTATCTCATTGTGATTTTGATTTGAATCTCCCTCATGGCTGGTGATGATGAAAATTTTTTCATGTGTCTTTTTCATGTGTCATTTGTATGTCTTCATTGGAGAAGTGTCTGTTCATGTCTTCTGCTCATGTTTTGACTTAATTATTTGTTTTTTGGGTGTTGAGTTTGAGAAGTTCTTTGTAGATCTTGTCTATCAGCCCTTTGTCTGTAGTGTCATTTGCGAATATCTTCTCCCATTCCGTGTGTTGCCTCTTTGTTTTGTTGACTGTTTCCTTTGCTGTGCAGAAGATTTTGATCTTGATGAAGTCCCAAAAGTTCATTTTTGCTTTTGTTTCCATTGCCTTTGGAGACGTGTCTTGAAAGAAGTTGCTGTGGTTGAGGTTACTGCCTATGTTCTCCTCTAGGATTTTGATGGATTCATGTCTCACATTGAGGTCTTTCATCCATTTAGAGTTTATCTTTATGGTGTAAGAGAATGGTTGAGTTTCATTCTTCTGTATGTAGCTGTCCAGTTTTCATTGCACAATTTATTGAAGAGACTTTTTTCTCTTGGATATTTTCCCCTGCTTTGTTGAAGATTATTTGACCATAGCATTGAGGGTCCATATATGGGTTCTCTGCTCTGTTACCACTGGTCTGTGGTGTCTGTTTCTGTGTCAGTAACATGCTGTCTTGGTGATCACTGCTCTGTAATAAACCTTGAAATCAGGCAACGTGATGCCCCCAGTTTTGTTGTTCTTTTTCAACATTTCCTTGGTGATTCAGGGTCTTTCCTGGTTCCATGCAAATTTTAGGATTGTTTGTTCCAGCACTTTGAAAAATGCCAATGGCATTTTGATTGGGATGGTGTTGAAAGTATAGATTGCTCTGGGCAGCATAGACTTTTTAACAATATTTATTCTTCTGACCCATGAGCATGGAATGTTTTTTCTATCTTTTTGTGTCTTCAATTTCCTTCATGAGTGTTCTGTAGTTCCTAGAGTATAGATCCTTTACCACTTTGGTTAGGTTTATTTCGAAGTATCTTATAGTTTTTGGTGCTATTGTAAAGGGAATTGATTCTCTAATTTCTCATTCTGCAGTTTCGTTTTTAGTGTATAAGAAAGCCACTGATTTCTGTGCATTGATTTTTGTCTCCTTCCACATTACTGAATTGCCGTATGAGTTCTAGTAATTTGGGGCTAGAGTCTTGGGTTTTCCACATTAAGTATCATGTCATCTGCAAAGAGAGGGAGTTTGACTTCTTTTTTGCCAATTTGAATACCTTTTATTTTTGTTGTTGTTGTTGTTGTTGTTGTCTGATTTGCTGTTGCTAGGACTTCTAGTACTATGTCGAACAATAGTGGTGAGAGTGGGCATCCTTGTCATGTTCCTGATCTTAAATGAAAGGCTGTCAGCTTTTCCCCATTGAGAATGATATTCGTTATGAGTTTTCATGGATGGATATTATGGAATTGAGGAATGTTCCCTCTATCCCTATAATCTGAAGTTTTAATTAAGAAAGGATCCTGTATTTTATCAAATGCTTTTTCTGCATCAATTGAGAGGACCATGTGGTTCTCTCTTCTCTTACTAAAAGAATCAATAACGATTTATTTGCAGATGTTGAACCACCTTGCATCCCAGGGATAAATGCCACCTTGTTGAGGTGGTAATCTTTTTAATGTACTGTTGGATCCTGTTGGCTAGGATTTTGTTGAGAATCATGGCATCCATATTCATCAGAGATATTGGTCTGAAATTCTCCTTTTTGCCCGGTTTGGGGATCAGGGTAATTCTGGCCTCATAGAAAGAGTCTGGAAGTTTTCCTTCTGTTTCTATTTTTTGAAACTATTTCAGAAGAGTAGATATTATTTCTTTGAATGTTTGGTTGAATTCCTCAGAGAATCCGTCAGGTCCTGGACTCTTGGTTTTTGGGAGATTTTTGATCACTGCTTCAATCTTATTAGTTATTGGTCTATTCAGGTTGTCAATTTCTTCCTATTTCAGTCTTGGAAATTTATAGGTTTCTAGGAATGCATCCATTTTTTCTAGGTTCCTTAAGTTATTGGCATATAACTTGATAATAATTTCTGATTATTGTTTCTATTTCCTTGGTGTTAGTTGTGACCTCTCCCCTTCATAATTTTATTCATTTGGGTCCTCTCTCTTTTCTTTTGGATTAGTTTGGCCAATGGTTTATCAATCTTATTGATTCTTTCAGAAAACCACCTTCTAGTTTCATTGATGTGATCTACTGTATCTCTAGTTTCTATCTCATTGATCTCTGCTCTAATCTTAATTATTTCCCTTCTTGTGCATGGAGTTGGCTAATT